TGGTTAATGTTCAACCATTTCAAGAGGAAGCATATGATCAATAGCCAATGATACTGAGGGAGGAAGTCCAAGGTGCATTGAATGACTTGGCAAAGAACAAGTCACCAGGAATTAATGGAAAACAAATGGAAATGTTTCAAGAGAGTGAGGTGGCACAGGAGGCACTCTCTCATCTCTGCCAAGAAATTTGGAAGACAACTATCTGGCTGACTGATTGGAAGATATCCGTATTTGTGCCCATTCCAAAGAGAGGTGACCCAACAGAATGTAGAAATCATCGGACAATCTCTTTGATATCCCATGTGAGTAAAGTTTTACTAAAGGTAATACAGAAACGGCTGAAAGCAATCATTGACAGAGAACTTCCAGAGGTTCAAGCCAGATTCAGAAGAGGCCATGAAACGAGGGATATCATTGCTAATGCCCGATGGATCTTGGCTGAAAGTAGAGAATATCAGAAAGATGTTTACCTGTGCTTTATTGACTACGCAAAGTCTTTTGATTGTGTGGCTCATGACAAGCTATGGACAACATCGCGAAGCATTGCTGAACAATTAATTGTGCTCATGGGGAATCTGTAACTGGACCAAGAGGCAGTTGTTTGAACAGAACGTGGGAACACTGAATGGTTTTAAATTAAGAAAGGTGTGCGAAAAGTTGCATCCTTTCACCATACTTATTCAACCTATATACTGAGCAAATAATATGAGATGCTGGGTTATAAGAAGAAAAATATGGTATCAGAATTGGAGGAAGACTGATTACCAACCTGCGATATGCAGATGATACAACCTAGCTTGCTGAAAGTAAAGAGAACTTAAAACATTTACTGATGAACATCAAAGAGCACAGCCTTCGGTATGGATTACATCTCAATGTAAAGAAAACAAAAATCCTCATCACTGGACCAATAAACTACATTCTTATCAATGGAGAAAAGATTGAAGTTGTCAATGACTTTATTCTTCTTGGATCAACTATCAACACTCAAGGAAGCAGCAGTCAAGAAATCAAACGACATATTGCATTAGGCAAATCTGCTGCACAAGACCTTTTTAAAATGTTGAAGAGCAAAGATGTCACTTGAGGACTAAGGTGTGCCTGACCCAAGCTGTGGTATTTTCAATAACCTCATAGGCATGCGAAAGCTGGACAGTGAATAAGGAAGACCATAGAAGAATTGATGCTTTTGGGTTATGGTGTTGGAGGAGAATATTGAAAGTGCCATGGGCTGCCAAATGAACCAATACATCCATTTTGGAAGAAGTTCAGCCAGAATGCTCCTTGGAGGCCAAGATAGCCAAACTTGGTTTCTCATACTTAGAACATATTGTCAAGAGGGACCAGTTACTTGAGAAGAATATCATGTTTGATAAGGTGGAGGGTCAGAGAAAAAGAGGAAGACCCCAATGAGATGGATTGGCGAAGTGGCAGCATCGATGAATTCAAGCATGGCACCAGTAGTTATGTTGGCCCAGGATCAGGCAGTGTTTCGTTCTGCTGTGCATAATGTCGCTGTAGGTCAGTACCAACTCTATGGCACCTAACAACAGCAACAACAATGTGGACTGTTAGAAGAACCAACATATCTATATTGGAGGAAGCACAGCCAGAATGCTTCTTAGAAGCCAGGATAGTGAGATTTATTCTCTGATACTTGGGGCATGTTATCAGGAAGGGCCAGTCCCTAAAGAAGGATATCATGTTTGGTAAAGTGGAGGGTCAGTGAAAAAGAGGAAGACCTCTAGTGAGATGGATTAGCACAGTGGCAGCAGCAATGGGCTCAAGTGTAAAAATATTGTGAAAGTGGTGCTGGACAGGCCAGTGTTTCATTCTGTTTTGCATAGAATCTCAATGAGTTGCAACCAAGTAGATGACACCTTACAACAACAATAACAAATATTTTATGTCCTTTCTCAGGTCTGTTTTTGTTTTTAATAGGTTTCAGTTTTTATATGTAGGCTAAGAATATTAGCTCAATTCTTGCCATATGTTTTGCAACACATGCCTCATTTATATTTTTGTTTCAACATACTATACTTTTGATATGCTAAAGTGGTTAATTTTTCTGTAGTTGATTAAAATTTTATGGCTTCTGATATTTTGGATGTAACTTGTTGTTGTTGTTGTTAGGTGCCATCAAGTCGGTACTGACCCATAGCGACCTTATGCACAGCAGAACAAAACACTACCCAACCCTGGGCCAACCTCACAACTATTGCCACGTTTGAGTCCATAGATGCTGCCACTTGGCCAATCCATCTCGTTGGGGATCTTCCTCTTTTTCTTTGACCTTCCACCTTACCAAACATGATATCCTTCTCCAGTGACTGGTCCGTCCTGACAATATGTCTGAAGTATGAGAGACAAAGTTTGGCCATCTTGGCCTGCGAGGAGCACTCTGACTGAACTTCTTCTAAATCAGATCTATTGGTTCTTTTGGCAGCCCGTGGCACTTTCAATATTCTCCTCCAACACCATAACTCAAAAGCATCAATTCTTCTACGGTCGTCCTTATTCACTATCCAGCTTTCGCATGCCTATGAGGTTATTGAAAATACCATGGCTTCGGTTAGGCACACCTTAGTCTTCAAGTGACATCTTTGCTCTTCAACACTTTAAAAAGGTCTTGTGCAGCAGATTTGCCTAATGCAATATGTCGTTTGATTTCTTGACTGCTGCTTCCTTGAGTGTTGATAGTTGATCCAAGAAGAATGAAGTCCTTGACAAATTCAATATTTTCTCTATTGATAAGAATGTTGTTTATTGATCCAGTGATGAGGATTTTTGTTTTCTTTACATTGAGATATAATCCATACTGAAGGCTGTGCTCGTTGATCTTCATCAATAAATATTTTAAGTCATTTTCACTTTCAGCAAGCAAGGTTGTATCATCTGCTTTTTGCAGGTTGTTAATGAGTCTTCCTCCAATTCTGATGCCATGTTTTTCTTCATATAACCCAGTTTCTCAGATTATTTGCTCAGCACACAATTTGATTAAGTGTGGTGAAAAAATACAACCTTGTTGCACATCTTTTTCAATTTTAAACCATTCACTGGATGTAACTACAACTGTCTTAATTATTCTGAGTTATTAAAACAAATTATGCATAAGTTTTTTTCACAATGTCATATAGTTTCTTTTATTGGACCCACTTGGTATTTTTTAAATGTGTATCTTTATCATCAGGAGTCCTGGCGTGGCATTGTGGGCTGGTGTGTAAGACTGCAAAGTCATTTAAACTGCAAGGTCGGTCGCTCAAGCTCACCAGTTGTTCCTTGGAAACCCTAAACAGGGGTGCTATGGGTTGGAATCTACTCAATGGCACTTAGCAACAACATCTGTATCATGGAGTCCTGGTGTGGCATTTTTTGTTAATGTGCTGGACTGCAAAGTCAGTTTGAACCTCAAAGTTGGCAATTCAGGCTCATCAGCTGCTTCTCAGAAACCCTATACAGGGTTGCTATGTGTTGCAACTGAGTCTATGGCACGTAACAACAACATATGTGTAATAAATAAGGTTGAAACTCAAAAGATTTGTTTTTCCAAAATGGGCACTCAGTTTTGCTATAATTTACTAAGTTATATGATCTCATTGATACTAAATACCACCATTAGCATCTCTATAGCTGTATGCATTAACCACTTTATTCTTAATGTTCACTAATTTGCTTTTTCATTCAAACTATTTATAAAATGTCTCTAGCTTTAGGAAACATTTTTCTTTATTATTACACTTTCTTTAGTTTTTTTGTTTTTGTTTTTTTGAAATGAGTATTGCTGTTGCTGTTAAGTACTATCAAGTTGTTTCCAACCCATAGCAACCCTGTATAGAGTTTTTGAGGAGTGTTCAAGCTACTTTGCAGTCTAGCACATTAACCCACAGTGCCACACCAGGACTCCTTAAATGAGGATAGCTCATACATTAATGCCATTTTCGATTTTCTTCCATCACATTTTCCTTATATTTTAGTTAGGAAGACAATTGATTTTTGTTTTCATTTTCATTTAAATCCACATATTTCATTTCCTTATTTTAAAAAAAATATTACGTGATGTTTTTAATGTTTTTTTAATTTCAGTTTCAAATGACATTTTTTTTTTTTTTTTTACTAATAATTTGTTAGTTTTAGCCTTTTACTCTAACTTTGTAATACTTCTTTTCTTTTCTTGATTAATTTCACTGTAGCGTAGTGGTTACGAATCGGGCTGCGAACCTTAAGGTCAGCGGTTGTAAACTACCAGCTGCTCCGTGGGAGAAAGATGAGGCTTTCTACTCCCGTAAGGATTTACACCCTTGGAAACCCTGTACAGGGTCGCTATGGGTCGGAACCGACTCGACGGCACTTAACAACAACAACAACAACAACCCTGTAGGGAAAAGTAGAACTGCTCCACAGAATTTCAAAGGCATTTAAATCTTCATAGGAGCAGACTGTCATCATTCCTATGGAGCAGCTTGTTTGTAGGTTTGAACCACAAACCTTCTGGTTAACAGCCAAGTACTTAAGTATTGAACAACCAGGACTCTGAATAGGGTTTTCAAGGATTGGCTGGTGTGTTTGAACTGCCAATCTTATGGTTAGCAGTCCATTGCTTATCCTACAGTGCCACATCATTTATTCTTCACTTCACTCAGAAGCAGTTCTATAAATGCCTATTATAAAGTCATGGACTTTAATGTTTTAGAACATAATTTTAGAGGGCATATTTTTATTCTTTTCTGTGTTTTTCAATTTGGTTTACTCTCTTAAAGCTAGTTGCTCAGTTATCCTCAGAAACTCCTATCTCATTGTCATTACTATTGTAAACAATCTTACCATTATTTAATATTAATAAAAGCTCTTAAATCTGATCATTTCAGTTCATTGATCTATATTCCAATATTGCATACGAGTTATGAAAGTAAACTGAGCATTTGCTATTGATTTAATTACATAGTTTCTAAGATTCAATTCCATATTGAGAAAGGAGAAAATAAATGGAATATAGGACTTACGATTTTCTCTGCCTTTGTTTGTAGTTAGTGGAGTTTTTTGCCTTTGACATTGTGAAGAGGTATCAAACTTTGGCATTTCAAAATTATAATTATGAAATTCACTCATGTCTGTAGAAAAGCAATTCAGGTCAACATAAGTCCTGATCCTTTTATCAGTTTGTGCCTAAAAATTTAAAATTCAACTTTCCATTTCCATATACATATTTGCATTGAATATATTTTTAAAAATAATAAAATGAATTAATTTAGTTTTATATTACTTCATTCTTAAGATGCTTTAATTTACAATATAAACAGAGTGTGTTTATTGCACTGAAAAATATCTTTATTATGATTACATGTATTGTTCAAATAAGCAAATATATAATATATAATGAAATCTAACATTAAAAGGAAAACATCAATATAGTGAAGAAGACAGAGGCCTTAAAGAGATAACTGTCTATTTAAGCTTAGATCTATATTTACTAATTAGTTAATTTTACATGCATAATCTTATCTGATTGTTTTATTTCAAAGGAAAAAGAGAACAGGAAGGAGAGGGTGAAAGGAAAAGACAAAAAAAGGGAAAAGAAGAAGGTAGGGGTGGAAGGAACAAAAGAAGGAACCAAAACAATTAGGTATGGATATTTTTAAATGAAAAAAAAAATGTACTATGAATTTATTATCAAAATAGTTCCAAATATGTAGTATCACTTAGAAAATGCTAGCTTGTTTAATATTTTTATAGTGAAGGACATACAAAGGTAAGCAAAAATAGCATTTCTAAAAAATCCTAGAATCATTTATTAAATGTGAAACTATTATTTCTCTACATAGCCTCAATGTAGTATATACTTCTCTAGGTGGTGTTTCTATTTCTCTAACCCTTTCTGACTAATTCTGCACTCTTCAAATATGATATCTTCAAGGACTCAAGTCATATTCCTTTTCGTGTTCTTTGATCTTTGGGAATAAAAAGATGTTCTTTGATCTTTGGGAACAAAACGAAGGGTCAAGATCAAGGCTATAGGGTGTGTGGGATATGACTGACCAACAAAATCCTCATGGGACAACCCTTGTTACACCCATATGATGAGCAGGTGCATTGTCGTGATGGAAAAAATTCCTTTGTGCAAATTACCTGGCTTTCAGATCACCAATGCAGTTTCATTATATTAAAACATCTTCATAATAAGACTACATGATAGTTCTGTGTCTTTCGAGAAAATCTATCCAGATTATCCCATTGAAATCCCCCAAAATAATAACTGTTACCTTCTGATTCTATCTATCTATCTATAGTAGTTATCCTACAGTTATATATATATATGTTGTTGCTGTTAAGTGCCGTAGAGTCTGTTCTAACCCATAGGGACCCTGTACAGGGTTTCTGAGGATGTAAATCTTTATGGGAGCAGAAAGCCTCATCTTTCTCCCACGGAGCGGCTGGTAGTTTCGAACCGATGACCTTAAAGTTTGCAGCCCAATTCGTAACCACTACGTTACCAGAGCTTATATATATATATATAGTTGTTATTAAGTGCCGTCAAGTTGATTCTGACCCATAGCAATCCAGTTCAAATGACTTTGCAGTCTGATGCATTAGCCCTCAGCGCCACACCAGGACTCTTTCTATCTATATCTATCTATCTATTTATCTATCTATAGAAAGAGAGAGAGAGAGAAAGAGTGCAGCACTGTGGGATAAAGCCAAAGCACTGAACCACAAAGTAGGTTTGAACCTCAATGGTTCAAATTCATTCACCAGCTGCTCCTTGGAAGGAAACCCTATACATGGTTGCTATGAGTCACAAGCGACTCCATAGCACTTAACAGCAACAACTATATATATATATATATATATATATATACACACCATCATACAAAACCTAAAATAAGTAGGTTCTTTTTACTCACCATAATTCAAAGCCTTAAATAGTAGGATCTACAATTTTGGGGGAGTCCTGGTGTGGTGCTGCAGGATAATGTGCAAGGTGGAAGGTTCAAGCCCACCAGCTGTTCCTTGGAAGTACTATACAGGATCTCTATGAGTTGGAAATGACTTGACAGCACTTACCAACAGCAACAACAACAAAGTTTTTGGATAAAGACAGAGTTTTGTCTCTGAACCAAACAAGCAAAAAAAGTTTGTTTTTGTCTTGAAATATTAATAATTTACTGAATGTTGAAAAACTCTTTATAAATTACATGAACATCTTTTATATTTAAAAATTATGCTTAAACATTGCTTCCAATATAATATATAATTGAATTATTAAGCTTATGAAGTAAAAAGTGTACTTTTTATTGATGAGGAATATGAAGTAATTTATAACATTTTTGGTTAAGAAGCACTTTCAAATATAGGTAATCTATATTGTCTCTCACAAAAATTAACTAAGAAAAATGTGGCATATTTGTTTTGTATCTTATTTTATAGAAAATGAAATTAAAATAAATGGGGATTGTGGATTCCCTTAGATATCCAAAGTTGAGAGCAAAGTTTGATTAAAATTCAATTCTCCTGACTCCAAATTTTTATGTCATTTTACTATCCCAAACTGTCTCAAATGTGTTTGACTATATTTAAAAAGGTTAATAAAATGAAGGAAGAATATTTTCAACTTTTTGAAGAACTGATGTAAAAGGAATATGAAGTAAATCAGAGTAAATATCTTTGTCTTAAATGTTAGCATAAAATTCTGAATATCTTAAAATTACACAGAAGCAAAATTGTGGAAAATTCATACCCAAGTTTTGGTGAGACTTCCGATCACGGATCAAACCCATCATTTAATTAGTACATCACATGTGACAGATAGATGAATTAAAATGTCTTCATTCTATAAAGAATTCCTGGATAAAACAAAATCAGAGCTTTTTTTCTGTAATTTTTCCTTGTGGCCTGAAGAAAGATTTTCACTGGAATAGTAAGAATACAGATATGTTTCCCTCCATGCAATGGTTTTTGAAAGGAAATTAAAATTTATGAAAATACAGGCAAAAGTAAATTTACAAATTTCACTTGACTGTAAAATATGAATCAACCATTTCAAAGGTGTCATGAAAATATAGTGGAGGCTTTCAATTCAATTCTATTATTTAATAAAAATATTTCATATCATTGATACTGAATGGTAACACATATGCTTATCTGCTTTTAGTTGTTATATTTTGTTTGGTAATAACTGATATTTATGATAAATCAATTCAGGAAAATATGAATTACTGCTATTTTCTTTATAAAAACACATTCAAATTCAATGTTTATTAATATAATTATCATCATCATCATTAATAAAATAATCAAACATTTGCTTAAATAGTAACCTTATACAATGTTTAGCACAGCCCCCAAACAATATTGTAACAATTTTTAAAATTGCATATGGTGTTTCAATTTTTAAAATAAAAGCTTTTTTTCACACTTGATCAGGATGGTTGGAAGAAACAAATATAATTTGTTTCATTTGCAATTAAAATTGTGTATCACAGAAGACAATGGGAGATCAGAAAACACAAGTGGTAGAATTCAAACTGAAACCCAGTTCTTCTAAACCTAATGTAAAGATCTCTTTTTCTATATTTTTTTAGTGATAAGCTTCCTTCCTAGAGCAATATCATAATTCTGATTCTGTGTTCAGTTATAAGAGTTTTACTATCCCAATTTACTTATTATGAAACACTGTGAAAAACAATATAACTAGAAATGATCATTATTCCTTGTCGTTAGTAATCCTAAACACTTACAAAACATTTATAATTAGCATTATAGTATAAATTGCTTCAGAAAATTTCTTGCTGTTGAAACATATTTCCTTTTTACTCGACTAATAACTGGTAAACACACACACACATATACACACACCTGATTAGAGAGGAATGTCCTGATTCTTGTAGATAAAAGATTCCTATGCAAATAAAAACATAAGCTATGTCCTGAGTTCATAATTTATAACCGAAATTAGAAATACTCAGTTAAGTTTCATTTCTGAAAAAGACATGTTAGATATTATTTTAATCTCATTTCCCTGTTGAAAACAGCACAAACCACAATGCTTCTGCTTTAATATTGCACCAGAAAATTGAGTGGGTAAGGTGTGACCACTCTTGGTTGGATTCCAGTTACATCCTAAATACTTTTTATCACCTGAAAAATCACAGATTAGATAATGTAATAAATAGCCCATGGTTTAGACATAAGTTATAGGACTATATAATTTTTTCTATATAAGAAGTGAAAATTTATAATATATGTATGTAAGAACTGTATGGAAATAAACAGAAGAAAATTAGGTACATTCTTAAATACCCTCCAAAACAAATTGTTTTAAGTCTGAGCAATACACACCCCCCACACAATAATACATAAATATATATAACCTTTTAATCATAAGATGTTAAAATATATAAAAATTTGAGAATTGTATAAAAGACAACTCTACACACAGTAAGCAATTATCAACTTATTGTCACAATTATTTCATGTATGATATATGTGGATGTCTGAGATACAAAGCTCCACGGAAGTATGGTCTTTTTCTCCTCTTACCTTGCAGACATTACTCTCTATGTCAGCTGGAATGTAACAAAATGGGACATCATGGCAGAGTTTATCAGTATCAAAAGAAAATAAAAGGGATTTTATGAGTGTGAGTTGGTACCAATGCTGGTGGTAGTGTAGATTAAATGGGCAAATTTATTTAAAAATACTGTTATTATTATTGATATGTCTAAGTGAGCTAATAAAACATTCTTGTTTGTGTTTTAGAAATATTTTATTCTCATGTTATAACAAGAAGGGAAAGTAGCCACTAATATCACTTCTATTCAGTATCAGCATAGAGATTCTTCAGTGTATTTGACTACTGAATAAAATCACAGTTATGGGACTTAAAAAATAGTCTGCTGGTGATGTGGCTATCAAACAAATTATTGATCAATTACTAAAAATCATTATAGGAGTATGACTGAATTTAGCATTGATTTGTAAGACCATTCTAAATGTCAACAATAAATAGAAACAATTGCTCTTAAATAATGACATTATTATTACCAACAGCAATAGAAGAACTGTATATACTTAGGTTAAATATAATAAGATAGGCAAGATCTATATGGAACTTATTAATTCCACAAACTAATTTTATTGGACTGCTGAATATAAATGAGGTCAATTAAAAAAAATATATGAGGGATTCAATTCAATTCTAATCAATATCCCACTGACTTGGGAAAATAAATAACATTTCTCAATGTTGTGTATATGTGTGAAAGTCATGATGGGACATTTGTTGACAATTTGTGACCATTAATGATGATTTGTGATATGTGGAACTACAAAGTGAATGCCATAGCTTTCAGAAATTGTATGTTCTAACAATGGAAAAATCCTAACAAAAATTAATGTATGCAAAAGCAATTTAACTATAAAACTGTGTTAATGAACTTCATCTGTCTGCTAAAGCTACAGTAGGAACTCACAATGCTATTATAAACAGCCTGAATTCAAGTGATTTGACATCAAGAACCCCTATCACAATTTATTTAGAAGATACTTTAGTTAAAAAAGAAAAATCACCAGTCTAATCAGCTGTCTTTCTTGACCAGTAAACTACAGGCTGACTTACATGTTTGAGTATGCATTCCTGTAAAACACAAAGGTGATGAGACCACATGTAGCTTTGTGGTAGGAAACAGTCCCCTGTGCAGGATGCTCACATCAAGCTGTGACATTAGAACTGGATGTGGTCAGAGGTGTTTACTGGACAGTTGCTCAGAAATGAAAGCACAAGATACGTCACTACTGCCAAGTAAAACCTGTATAATCTTGATTTTTCTATTTATGGGTTTGAGTTGATAAAAGATATGTTTAAAAATATTCTAAATTCACATGGACAATGAATTAAATAAAGGGGATTGAAAGTATAGCGTTTATTCTGTGGATGAACATGGACATATAGAGGCAGAAATGAAATAATGAGCAATTTAAAAATAAAAGCCACAAACGTACTTGCAGAAATATTTATTGAGAACCTATTATGCGTTAAGCTAGGTATTTGAGCTACACATGATAATTGGATGAATATAAAACAGAGACTCCATATATTTTGAATGCAGTCAACATTTTGGTAGGAGAAGTAGATCTTTATCTTGGTAAGTTACTAATAGTCTCTGGTACAGTTTCTTGAGCTGTAAAACAATTATTACTTTATAAAATAGATGAATAATTTCTTGTCCTCCACCCAGTTGAAATTCTCTTTAATACTAAAAGTAAGTAATTCTGTTGAGCTGACTTACACAAAAAACTATTTTCTTAAATTAACTTTGCCCATGTTAGGTTGATTTGTTTCTTTAACTTGGAATCTAAATAATGCAATGGAACATATAAGTTATTGTTCTCTGTGATGTTTTCTTAGAAATTATAAATAAACATTCATAAATACATATTTTCAAAATTACTCTCAAATGAATTACTTGGAAGATTTATGGGTCAGAAGACTTCACATTTTATTTTATTTTGCCAATTAATCTTACATTCCCTACCATAGTGACAGTCTCCATATTTCTAAGAGAAATGATGTCTTTCATAACTTCTATATCTTGCATCTATTTCATACTCATATAATTTTGACTATGATTATAATTTATTTAGATGACAAGACACAACACAAAGAAACTCAGATGAATCAGAGAGCATTTTGTTACTTGCATCTTTCAATGAGAGAAGGGAGCTGCACAGGCCCACACAGAGGGATATAGTCAGGGACAGGACTCCAACAAGCTGGGATTTTAGGAGGCCGATAATGTGTGGTAAACAGGGAGTTACTTTAAGGCTCCAGGAATCCCTAAGGATTGGATATTTTGATAATTCCACTAATCCTGGGGATTAGGTATGTGAGAACCTCTTGCAGATTGGTTTGTGTATTGTAAACTAGGAGTATTGGACTCTGATTAGGGAAGTAGTTGGGGTGTGGTCTTAACAAACTTCCCATAAAGGGGACTTGAGTTTTTAGCTGTGGTCTCAAAATTGAGTCAAGATATCACTTCTAAAATGTTATATTACAGTATTTACATGGATTTTGTGTTTATTTTAGTGCCTTAACCATCAGAGAATCATAGAATTGTGTAGATGTCAAAACATGTAATATTATGTATTCTAAGTGTTTAATGAAACAGATCTATGGAAAAGACAGTAATTTGCAAATCAAGTGACTCAGTAGTTACAGAACTGAGTGAAACCAAGATTTCTCAAGTCACAACTTCTTCTTCTTCCTCTTAATGTTTACTATTATGTGCTTGGATTTCTGGTGTGACACGGTAGAATAAGCACATACTGGATGACTAACTGAAATCTAGGCCTACCATCTACTTCTCGGAAACTATTTATAAAGAGTTGCTAGGAGTCTGAACCAACCTGATGACACAGAACTACAACATTATGCACCTAATAGTAGGTGCTCCAATTCTGATTGACCTACTACACACACGAATAAAAACTGGTTTAAACTCAGTAACTCTAAAATTATTCTTTTGTAGTGTATAAAAACCATTATTAGCTAGCCATGTGTCTCCAACTTGTTAATCAAGATGCTATAGGCTCTTCCCATATTGTATTAATCATTCATTTATTATTTCATATAGAGTTGTCAGCATCAAAGCACAAAATAAATAGATAGATAGATAGATAGATAGATAGATAGGTAGGTAGATAGATAGGTAGATTGATGAAGTTACTAAAAATTTCATAGGCTGTTATCTATATATTGAACCTTCTATGTGACAAGCAC